ACAAGAGTTTCCTACAAGAGTGTCCCACGAGAGTGTCCCACAAGAGTGTCCCACAAGAGTGTCCTACAAGAGTGTCCCACAAGAGTGTCCCACGTGCCACAAGAGTGTCCCAAATGGGTGTCCCACAGGAGTGTCCCACAAGAGTGTCCCGCAACAGTGTCCCGCAAGAGTGTCTCACAAAGAGTTTGCAACAAGAGTGTCCCGTAAGAATGTCCCACAAGAGTGTCCTACAAGAGTGTCCCACAAGAGTGTCCTACAAGAGTGTCCCGTAAGACTGTCTCACAAGAGTGTCCCACAAGAGTGTCCCGCAACCGTGTCCCACAAGAGTGTCTCACAAGAGTTAAGAGTGTCCCACAAGAGTGTCCTATAGGAGTGTCCCACAAGAGTGTCCCACAAGAGTGCCCTACAAGAGTGTCCCACAAGCGTGTCCTACACGAGTGTCCCACAAGAGTGTCCTACAAGAGTGTCCCACAAGAGTTTCCTCCAAGAGTGTCCCACGAGAGTGTCCCACAAGAGTGTCCCACAAGAGTGTCCTACAAGAGTGCCCCACAAGAGTGTCCCACAAGAGTGTCCCAAATGAGTGTCCCACAGGAGTGTTGTCCCGCAACAGTGTCCCGCAAGAGTGTCTCACAAGACTGTCCAATAAGAGTGTCCCACAAGAGTGTTCTGGAACAGTGTCCCACAAGAGTGTCCTACAAGAGTGTCCCACAAGAGTTTCCTACAAGAGTGTCCCACAAGAGTGTCCCACAAGAATGTCCCACAAGAGTGACCTACAGGAGTGTCCCACAAGAGTGTCCCACAAGAGTGTCCCACAAGAGTGACCTGCAGGAGTGTCCCACAAGAGTGTCCCACAAGAGTGTCCCACTGGAGTGCCCTACAAGAGTGTCCTACAAGAATGTCATTTGGACATATGTAGCTGTTCGAACGTGTTTGCATTCAGGTTCGTGGGCTCCATCTTGTTCCTTTGGTCTTCTCTTGGTGTTTGGCATCGTTTTTGTGTAGGGATGGGTTACGCTTGTGTATCGTGATGGCAGCTTGGCATGGCCTGCCGGCTCTCCCCGACATACCAGTAGGCGAGTAGGCCCTCTGCCGATCAAACTCAGGGCTGGTGAAAGATTGAAATACTAGACGTTCACAAACGGAAATCTCGCACACAAATCCCAGAAACACTTCCCATTCAATCCTACAAGGTTGGGGCCATGTGGCACACTGGCACGTTTGGAGTTAGCGGCAGTGGAGTTTATTTGCAAGAGTTGAAAAATCTTCGTGGCTGACAGACATTGTTCGTCTCTCAGACAGAACATACATGTTGGTTCAATGATGAAATGCTGGAGTGCTCTGGGAGCATCCAAGCAAACCCCAAAACGCATTCAGTCTAGACCCACACCTGCTCTACCCACTTTCAACGGCCGTTTCGGCACTTCTCGCCACATCCGTTCCCCGTGCCTCGGTCGCGTCCTCCTCGCGAGCGTTGGGGTCAAAGTGGCCAGCACCCAGCGCCTCAAAGCGGGTCTCAAGGAAGTCTTCCAACTTCAAACCTCGGGCGATGCAAAAAGCAGCCTTCTGCGAGCCCTAGAAATGGGCAATGAGAAGGTCACATCTCAGTGTCGAACTTGCTGACGCTGCGTCTCACCGGTCTTTTTTCAGAGGTGGGTAACCTAACGCGACAAAACCCTCGTACTGCGCGGATGTGGCTACAGGGTGTCACCAAAGCCGGAGTGTGTACATCACCAATTCAACCTAAAAAGTCCGTAGCCAATGAACCTGGCCTTAGGACAGAGTGAGGAACATGATGGTCTCCACTGCGCCGGAAGCTTCCTGCTATACTTGCTATACTTGCTAAACCAACAACATGTATGTTGACTTCAATAAGTGGGAAAACCGGGAGTAAGAATCTCAGGTCAGCAAATGTCCTAAATGGTAATGGACAAAATCTTGAGTTTGGGGATCTATATATTGGGGAAGGTCACGGTTGGTCCCCCTTCTCCTCTACATTCCACACAAACTAGGAGGGGCGGAACCCAAACCACTGATAGTGTCCAGGTCCTCCAGTCCATTGAATCTTCGTCCTCCCACAGTGAAAGAGGCCAGGGCGCCTTTCAACTTTCTTCTCGTTCTGGCCAAGACTGTCTCGAAGGTCCGCCGGGCTTTCGCAGCCGCATCATGCCCTGCGATCAGCAACCTCAGAGAGGCTCATGGCTCCAGGGATGCTGGGACCACTGGGAGGTGGATGAGGTTGCGCAAAACCACCAACTTTGGGGCTGATCTAGGATGGCAGCGGCTTGCACCTTGCAATCTTGAAATGAAAATATATAACGACTCACGCTCAGGCCATTTTCCATCCAGAGAGCGTATCACAGGCTGCGATCAACCGCAGCTCAACTCCACCTCTTGGCCACGTTGGGAGGGTGGGTTCAGGGAAGCTTGAGACGGCCACCGCATTCGTAGTTACTGGTCAACGACTCACGCTCAGGCCATTTTCCATCCAGAGAGCGTATCACAGGCTGCGATCAACCGCAGCTCAACTCCGCTCTGTCCGATCCGTCCATGCTTCGTGGCCAAAGAGGTGTCGCCAAAAAGAAAAAGGCAAACTCAGTCGGCTAAACTTCAAACTCTGTTGGAGCACCTGGGGAAACAAAGCTGCTAGGCTGAGGACTCGTTCACGAGCTGGAGCAGGAACCCTTTTCAGGAACAAAAGTGCGGTGGTTTCTTGCACGTAAATCTCCATCACACGACTGCTCAACCATCTCCCCTTTCTGCGAGTGTATTCGCTGTTTTCGGTCGTGGCTAAGTGCCATGTAGCCCCACCAGCCCGAAGTGAGCCTAGGTCCAAGGGCTTCAACTCTCCACGACGTTCAAGGGGAAGAAGGAGGGCTGCAAGAACATCACGAAACCTTTGTCTCAGTGTTTGTCCAGACCAGCTCCAAAGCTTTGCTGTTTCAGGCAGCCTACCAAAGGCTAAATTTACGACCAAAAGGAGGTCTGGGATCTCCAGCTTAGCGGCCTGATGACGCGCTCCAGAGTTTCGAGTTTTTGGTTCGACGATCGCCACCATTGCATACGCAATAGTCTCTTGCACATCACACGGCAGCAGAAGATTTGAACGGGTTGCTGAAAGAAACTCACCAGCCCTTAAGAGAGCACCCCAACATAAAGATAAAGCTCCAGCCAGGGGAACCCATCCCCAAAGAAGACAAGTGGTTACCATGGCCAGCAAAACTTGCCACGGCATTGCAACATGGTGACATGTCGGTTCTGAAGCCATCCAACTGTACGCTAAATCCCACGATCCCTGCATCTGCCGACGTATCGTGGGACGGAGCGAAGTCAAGTAATTGATTGTCTCTGCGTATTGATTGTATGGCTTTCCTGCTTCGTAAAGCACACGACCGAACCTAGTCAAAATTGCATTCCACTCTTCAACATAAAAGGTGGGAGTTTCCAACAGAGGAGCAATATCAACCCCTTCCGCTAAAAGCCAGCTCTCAAAAATCTTCCAATATCTGGCCCTCAAACGAGTAGTCGCCTCCAGAGTCGGCCTGCCACTAGGAAGGGCAGGTCTAAGCGCTCTTGCCTGAGCTCTCGTCCGTTCTCCAGCAGTATGAGGTTCCATTGCTCGCACCGGAATGGCAGCGCAAAGGATAAAAACTACCGCGCCGCGCGCCCGACCACAGGAGGGGTGTCGCAGAGCAAAGAGGAGGAACGAGATCAAGGAGCCGAGACAAAGGAGAGGCAGGAGGAGCCAGAAAAGCCCAAAAAGCAGCGAGCGCCAAAGGGAGACAGAAGCTGAAAGCTGAGCGAGTGCCGATGGCAGACTGAGTGAGGGCGGGCCCTCCCCGGGAAAACCAAGAGTTTGATCAAAGTCCATCGAAGCGAAGTCAAAAGCTGGACAGGCTGGACAGCGATGATCCTGCCCAAAAAGAACTGGCTCACTTGTTCTGGTAATTCGTGAGGCACCATAGGCTCGTCTGTAGATGGATGCACCCCGCAGCAACAGAAGCAGACGAATCCAGTTAGAGGCCCACCTTCGAGCTTTCGGGAGACGTGCCAAATCCCATAGCTCACCAAAAGAAAGATCTTTCCAACGAAGACCAGGAAGAGGCTCCCGTAGCTCATGAAGCCGAGTGGGATCATCTGCAACGTTTAGCCTAGTAGGGCAGAAGGGGGTGGTCATGTAGAGCCCAAAAGCAACCAAGCAAGAGGCGATTCTCTGCAGCACAGCTGTAAGGGCAAAAGATGCAGATCTTCCCTTGCCAAGAGCTCCTCTGCTAACATTTGAATCCACAAAACAAACGAATCTTCTCTGACCTCTTTTCGCCTGCTTGATGACCAACCTCTCGACAGACTTCATCTCGAGGATGTTTATATGCTGAGGTCTCTTGAATCTCCAGGAGTTCTCGACTATCCAGGTTGATCCTGAGACGATCTCATTGACCAGCTGGTTCTCCAAGCCGTCAGGGACAATGTCACCAGCCAGCGGATCTGACTTCTTCACTTCCCTTATCGCATGCCTTAAAGTCCAAGCCAGAGCCATAGAGAGCTCCCAAGTGTAAACAGCCGACGCTTTAGTGTAGACACCGGCAATGGGAATATGATCACATTTACCCTTGCAGCGACGTGCCAATTGTGAGAGGTCAATGTTCACCCCAAGGAAAGCAAAGGACTTCTGATGCTGTGAACCAAACTGACAAGAATCACTGCGGACCTCTGTCACACCTGGCTTCCTGAGCAGAGACTGATATGCAGGAAGGTACTTTGTCTTGGCTGAAAAAGGCCTCTCGAGAATACCAGACACGCGGTGTACCCGAGCCTTCTGCAGCAATTGTAAAGATCTTCCAGCAAGCACATTTCCATCATGGGTTTGAGGATCTGAGGGATCAAAACCAAAAGGGCAAATGCGGTCTCGCAAAGCAGGGCGTCTCATGATCGAGAATGTGGTACATGGGGGCTCCAGCAAAAACGCACGAAGAGAGCCCCGTTCTATGAGATGAAAAAGCCACTCAAGAACAAAGACTTCCTTCATATTGTATTCCTCAGACCTGCTCAAATCAATGGGTGGCCCACAGATGACCCCAAGCCTCTCCAAAGCAAGCGTCACCCGAGAGGACCCTGCAAATATCTCGATAAACTCGAAGGCGAAGGCAAGCGGTCTGTCGACACCAATGAAAGCCTCCTCCTCAACAGACTCGTCGGACAACCCAAGCTTTTGCATGAAACGTGCCCAGGGCGATTGAAGGCGCGTGTAGGCTCCTTTTGTCTTGCATGCACGGGAAAGGATCTTGGTGACCTCCGGATCTGCTTCCACTGAACAAATAGCACCTCTGTTCTCGGATGCATCTGAAGCAAAAAGCTTATCATCAAATGGAACCGAGATATCAGTCACCGCCAGTGGCATGAGGACCGAAACAAGCACCAGCTCACAAACGACCTCCCTGGGGAAGGGGATCAAAGCTGCATCGGGCTTGTCATCATGTAGAGAAGCCAGGCGGAATGACTCATTCAAAAGACTCATCATAGGCCTCCGAAAGAGTAAGACAGAGACCCAAGCCCCAAGGATGCGCCGATGAAGCGAGACTGTTGTGTAGGGCAATGAGCACAGCTCCAAGGTTAATGCTGATAGAGCAAGTCGTTTTGCTGCTGGGGCTGCCACCGTGCAAACACCAAGGGCCGTAGCTCTATCGCTGCCATTGATGAAGGCCCCGATGACCTTACCCTCTTTAGCTGCAAAGACATCCTTCTCTGGAGATCCAAGAAGGGGCACGGCACCATAAGCTTTCTGAGCAGTCCTGTAGGCTTGAGCTGACCTGGTATCTGCGTCCGGGAGGTGCTTGTCATCTACTGAGACTGCAAAGTAATCGTCAATGACCAAACCCTCAGCAAGAGAATCATCACGCCAGGGCCGGGAAGCAACCATGCTAGAATCCTCTGACAACAGGCCAACATTCTTCAACCACTGGGAATGGGCAGCTGTAGCAATCTCAACACCTGCATGGTCGCCCTGCAGAACGCTCTTGAAGGACGCCCAAATAAGGCCATGCTTGTCAACTCTGTTGCTCCAGGAGCTCAGCAAGTGATCACCATGCTCACGACGTTGATATCTAGCTTTTGCACTGCGCAGAAGAAAGGATCCAAAAGCTGAGGTTTGCTTCAGCCACTCTTGAGGAAGGCCTGGGCCCAAAGTGTTGGTAATAGCCCTTGACCTGGTCACCCAAATCTGGTGATAGAAATCACGCCGATCCGACACAGAGACAGAAATGCGCTTTTTCCGCAAGTCCAGAAACAAGTCGCAAAGATCTGGTCCGGCAGGAAGATTGCTCGAAGGTCCTTGAACTTTGCACTCGACAGCATTCCGCCCACGGCGGTCTCCAATTTGCCGGTCTTTATCAACTGATTTGTAGCAGTTAAAAATCCGCACCAGCTCAAAAATCTGTCTGTGTTGAACTCGATCTTGATGCGGGAAAAGCAATCCTTGTGAGTCCCACAGCTTGGCCAAAGCGGCAACTGTCTCTGGCGCATCCCGGATGTGAGGATATTCCCAGGTCGCAGGTTCACGGTCAACTCTAATCGACTCCGGCTCTCGGTAGACAATGACTAGATCGTCGGGCAAGAAATTTGTGACATCCCAAGCACCGGAGCCTGAGAGTTTCAAACGACTTGGATCGAGATCTCGGTAGGGCTCGAGCTCCGGGAGGATGGTATTGTCTTTCTCAACCTCATAGCCAACAAAAGCCTTCTCATAAGGCGACATAGAGCACCCCAGCTTCACCAAGAGAGCCGAGAGCTCCGACAACCTTGCAATCAATTCTGGATTCTTGCGACCAACATGGAGCATATCAAAAGTCTCATGTGGCCCATCCGCTCTGATAAAGGAGCGCAGCGAGATCATCACTGACAAAAGTCCCACCATAGTGCCAAAAGTTCAAAGCCATGCAGCACACGTGTAGGACCCTCCTCAGTAACAAAGACCTCCTCTTGGCACTAGACAGACCAGTGGGCATCCTGTCAAAAGTTCCTGAAGCAGGAACTGGCACAGGGAAAAGAGACGGTGTCCTTGGAGGCCGAGAAAAAGGGCTCTTGGAAACACGGATGGAATTTGCCAAAAATGCTGAAAAGGAACAACGAGATTTCAACACCAGTGTAGTCAGCTTCGACATCCACAAAGAAAAGCTGGCTTGTCTGGAATTGAGGAACTGAAGCCCGCTCAACCCGGCCTCAGGGCACTTTACAGGGAGCTTACCCCCCCGTTCAGTACCCCCAGGCATTGGGGAGCAAGGAGGCCTTGTAGAAGCAGTCCTCGTGTCACAAGGAGACAAGCACGCTTCTGGCAGGTCCCTCCCTGGGCTGGCTTGCACACCAGAAGAAACTGCATTGAGATAACTCCTGAATTTCCGCTGCTTCTGGGACGCTAGGCTGTGCCATCCGTGATGGCCTTCGGCTTCTTCGAGGAACTTTGGTCTTCGTTTTGGGCTCGGCGATGAATCCTCCTCCTGCTTCCCCACATGACCTTTCTTGGGGCGGATCTCTTGCCGCCGATTTTGCAAGACATCGATCTCCTTCAAGTAGGCCAGAGAGATTGTAGCAAGACCTGCTGGAATCAACGGAGCGAAAGGACGAGCTGAGGCAGTCACTGAGCTCATCTTTTCCTGAAACAATGCCGCCGGTGGATCCTCCGCCAAAGTCACTATATAGGCCAAGTCCCAAGCGCCCACATCGAAGGCACTTTGCTCCAGACCCATAACCGCTAAGGCGAGATACTCCCGAGTCATATGAAAATCTCCTCTGGAGGCCGCATCGACCGCATGAGCAATCACCCACATAGCCAAGCCCGCCTCTTTCTGTCCCTTGAAACCTCCATAGCGCTCCAAGTAGGTCAGAAGTGAGGGGGCCCGAGCATTGAGTTCGTCCTCGGTTTTTGGGACCACGTTGGATGGCTGCAGCCGCCTGCAAATCTGCTGCTGCAACATCATGAAGAAATGAGACTGTCCCGTAGCTAGGCTTTGCTGCAATTGCTCTCTTTTCAAGGTGCCTCTTGTTGAACTCGAGCTCGCCCCTGTTGCGCCAGAGGCCTCGAGGCCCAAAGTGTCTCCGCCTTGGATCAAATGAGACACCAAAGTGGTGAGCGCAGCCGACTGCTGCGCCAGGGTGTGCTCCAAGATCTCGGGGGGAGCCTTGAGCGGATCTACTGGCTCGTCCCACTTCTCGAGAGGCTGATGAGGGCTTGGCGACATTCTGGTCCTTGGAGGAGGCCCCAACAACTGCAATGCTTTGGCGGGAGTGCTGACTCGAGGAACAGAAGGGGATAGGCCCAACGAGACAGGAGGCATCTTGTGCAATCCCACTCCCATAGACAAATCGGTGAGCCCTCCGGCATGATCGGCAGAGGGAGGACTCTTGGAAACAGGTAGCGGAGGAACGTCTCGTACTACCTTCTGCTCCTCTTGAGTAGCCTGCAGCATAGCCACCTGAGCCGTCAGTGCAACCAACTGCTCTGCCAAACTGGCTGTAGTGACCCTCTTCGCACCCGCTTTCCGAAGTGCGGGCTGTCTCCCCGATGAAGCTGGAATCTTTGGAACTGCTGGCTCTTCTCGAGCGCTGTAAAAATGGACCCGTGAAGCACTGTCACCTGCGGCCCAATCCATAGCCACTGACAAAAGTTCAGCTGCAGAGGGCATAGCCGCTGGGTTTGTGTCCACAAAAGAAAAGATCTCCTCAGTAGAGTCTGTCACCGGATCGTATTCTCTGAGAAGTGGTAGTACGGCATTGTTGAAATCTGCCACCAAAACTGAGCCCTTGGAGCCCGTCGGAAAGACACTACCACTCTCATCCTCTTCAAACATATCCATCTCGAATTCACGTGAGGGGCCAACTAGCATATCATCTGTAAAGCCACCAGCTGGAGACAAAGCACTTTCAGCTAGGAGGCCACTGGGAAAAGCCAACAAAAGCCCACCACGGCGTGCATCTAGGGGCGTAGCAAAGGCGCTAAGCTCCTCACCACCAACTGCTATCTCTGCTGGCACCGTGAGCACCAGAAGAGAAGGATCCCGATGCTGAGATGCGAAACTTATCTGCTGCCGCTCCATTTCCACAAAGCAGGAACAGGGGCTTTCGCCCCAGCGCAGAAAATCTGTAGCTCCGTAAGACTGGGGAGTTTCTCCACAGGCACGATATCGGGGAAGTCCTTGCACAGCTGATCAGCGTCAGATTGTGAGGTCACCCTGATCAGGTCAAACCCTGGTCCACGACGTAGGACCCAATGAGTAGCTGCAATGCCCGGCTTGTAGGTACTAGGGCGATGAGAGCTGGCGTGACACGACCAGAAAGCTTTTGCCCAAAAACCAGCAACAAAGGCAGCACGAGCCCGATCTTCTGCACAATGACGTGAAGATGTAAGATGCCTCTTTGCTAGATCAATGACAAATTGAGGAGTCGGGCCAGGGCCTTCCTCGAACTGGATCTCCAAGTTTGTTGTGAGGTAGTTCGCTGGAGCACCCGGGATGCCAACACTGTCCTCCACCAGATCCCAATTCTCACTCACCTTATCCTCCTCCACACGCACACTAGAGGCTGAAACACCTCCAATTGCACCTCCAGGCTGACGAGAAATGACTAACGTCAGCTCCTTCACTGCTCGAGTCAGTTCACGAAGATCTTGTTGCAAAGCAGTGATCTCACTCATGCACGTAAGCTTGCAGCCTCGAAGAGATCGGACGGCGACGAAGGCCGGGATCTGAAGGGGCCTGAGGAGAGGCCGGAGGCAAATGGACCAAATAGGCCCGCAAGAAAATCCACGCGCCCCAAATTCCAAGGCAAAGTCCAAGAAGGATGCCGCAGGAAAGACCACAGGCAAAAGGGATGACCGTGGAAGGAGCACAGTGGGCGGGGCAAGAGAGAGACGAGGAGAGGAGCGAAAAGGTGGAAAGGATATCGGTGAGAGCGACACCCCAAACCTGCATACCCTGAAGCTTGAGACGGCCACCGCATTCGTAGTTACTGGTCAATTTGCATGGCACAGAAATAGTGTATGAGGCAGAGTTGGCTGTCAAGTTCTGGTTTCCCCACCACCCACTCGATTTTCACGAGTGATCCATGTGGTGCTACAGGAGTAAACCAGCGCACTACCGTACTTGTGAATCTGAGGGGCGGAATAACGCTGGCAAAGCCATCAGGTATGGTGCAGCACACCTGAGATTCGGTCCATTACTTCTTTTTGGGGGACTTGCGGTAGTTTCCAGTACGGTCAGTATGTTGAAGGCTCTCGGCACCTGCATATCGCCGGCATGCAAGTCCTAAAAATGATCTCAGTGCAAAAACGAGCTTCCATTGATTAGAGGTCTGATAGACACTCAATCTGAAGACTCCGATAAGAAACAACATATGTACAAGATTGTACAAGTATGCAAGTACTAGACAGAGTCTGTACGCTTGAGGTTGGGGTGAAAACCGAAATCGGCAAAGGCATGTGAAATCCCTGAAATCCGCCGTCATCCAACTTACATAAGCAGAGAACAAAGCAACTTATATAAGCAAAGGCTCTTTGTAGCTGTTGGTGGGCGGTAGCCCGCGACCTCCAGAGACCTTGACCAGGTCTTTTCCAACCTGCACTTTATTGGGCACAACAAAGCCATTCAGTTCTGTCCTTTTCCTTTATTCTTCTCCCCCCATTGTTTGGATATCCAGCATCGCAGCGCCTCTTCGATCTTGACCTGCACCAAAAAGAGCAGAACTCCCTAGAGAACTCACACAAAGTCCCGTGTTGATGCGATTAGGGCCTGCAAAAAGAGCAAATGAAGGTTTTCCGAATCAAGGAACAGTCGCAAACAACAACTTTTGGCGACAGTGATGCTTGAGTGGATTGGCCTGTTGTCTGACGAAGTGTGATGGACATGAGTCGGGGACAAGGTCTGTAGTTATAGGGGCAGGAACGGGGGGAACCCAAAACATACATTGCACTCAATCCTCACCTGATCTTGGAACAGCCTGATTCTGCATCTCCACCATGTCAAGAAGTCCAACATAGCTCGTCAAACGTTTGGCTTCTCCTCATCAAACCAAAGCTCCCTGGCCCTGCCCTACAGGGCGCTACAGTCTCCACACCGTCACCAAGCTCTGAGGAGAAGTCGGCTTAGTCCAAAGGGTTGTGCCAAGCGCCAATATCCGAGCCTGCGTGAAGTCACAAGCTACGTCCGGCACCAGGTAGGCGCCCGGATCCCCAATCTCGTACAAGAGCTGCTCCGCCACGCTGCCAAAGCTCACCTCTTCGCTGGCTTGGCGGGTTGGGCAGAGCTCAGGAGAAATCTGACTAAGTTATAAACCAGAAGGAAGACCATATATATATATATTCTAATATGTATTTTCCAATTCTTTAAACATGTGAATGAAATATGATGAAAGTGGATTGACTGGTTCTTTGGTTGGAGGATCGTTGAGCAGCAGCATGCAACCTGCAGTCAAGTCACCATCCCGTCTGTTCCTGGGGGCTTGGAGACGAGAAAGGTACCTCAAAACAAAGACTCTGAGCAGCCTAAGCGCTATTAGGCTATGGGTAATATATAAGCAAGCCAGAGCCACCATCAGGTGAGACTTCCACCACTGGGTAGCCCATGTTCTCCCACTTCACCTCCTATGCAGCGAGCTGCGCTTTTTAGCACAGCCAGGCTACGGCAAAAAAAAAGTGTGCTGACTCATCCACGTGTCCAGACCTTGGCCTGGCCGCGAGGCAGGGCCCTTTACTTCAAATGCCTCCGCTCGATCCCAGCGCCATCTCTCCGCTCCTGATAGTCGGTGAATAGGCCGCCAGTGCACTGTGCCGAGCATTCAATCAAATGCCCTGCAAGAGTGCCCATGCAGAGGCGGTCATAATCGTCAGGACGCCAGCCTCGCCCATGGGTTCCACAACAGTGTACTCTAGTAAAAGGCTGCAAAGAGGTCCCACGCATTGTCAAAACAAACATGCGTTTTTGCCAAACCATAGAGGCCAAAGCGGCCGAACTCATGCATGAGGATGCCCAGCGCAAGAGCACTGTCCACGACTCCTAAGCACAGGTTCCAACACTGCCACCTCGCTCCCCATCAACACAATACCATTTCTAGGTCTATCCAAAATCCCTCTTTCCCAATCTGCTAGTTTGATATTGCAAGGCGCGGCCAGTCACCACCACATCACAACCTTCGGCCAACGCTGCAGCTATCGGGAGAGCACCAAAATATGCATTGGCACTGGGACAATCCTCGGTGATCTGGATGACAATGACCAGAAGGAACAATTCAACTGTGTGTGTGTGAAGCCCTTTGACTCAGAGGGGACCAGGGGGCTAGCGGCCCATGTCTCAAAGCAAATGTCTTTGGACGCACAGACTTGTACCTGCTTGAGAACACACTGACTCCAATGGTTCTCCCTTGCTTAGGCTGTTTCCAGGTCCATCAGGTCGACGTAAAATGCTAATGTGCTCTGCAGACATGCAGTTGCATATTGTCGCTCTTGGAGGTTTTGGAGACGTTCAGACAACCTGACTTTGAGGATGTTCAGACCACCTTACTTGCCTGGCTTCCTAGGCTTTTTACTTAGGTTGGAGTGTGGCAAACCGCAAATCAGTACCGTACACATTTCCCGAGTGTGTGGTACAAGAAAAGTCAGTATATAGTTATATATGTCTACACCTTTTATGATGTCAGAGATCCTGGCAGTCTGTCTTTGACATGAATTTGGAGTGTGTTGACGTTGGCAGGATATATATAATTTATGCGAGAAGTGCAGAAGACCTCAATAGTCAAAAGGTGCCCTCAACATATCATTTGATTCTTGCCATGGTACACAAAGTGCAGCAACAACGATGATCTTCCTTTCTACGTACATTGATCGAGCTTTGGCACAAACCTGGACACCTACAATCGCACAGCCCACACATCTGTGTCCACAGCCCCGCAAATAGTTCAACATGTTCTAATCTGAGTTGCAGGAGGAAAACTATGCAAAACCACAGACATTGCACGGAGGGCATTCGTAGTCTTCCGAACCCACCTTTTTGCATTGATCGCTTCACTTGGCTCTAGAATAAACCAACAAAGTATTTTTAAAAAGTAGCATCCTTTGCTCCTAGTAGTAAGGCCAGGAGCCCCTAGTAGCGTCCTTGCTCCTAGTAGAGATGCCCTTTGCTCCTAGTAGCGTCCTTGCTCCTAGGCCCTCTTTGTTTGGCCCAAGAAACCTTCTCAGGAATCTTCTCTCCGGTGAACATCTCACAAAGGCCACGCTCTCCTTGGATGAAGCTGCTTCAGGGTTTGCATCGACTGGTGCCGTCTTGTTCTATTCTGCTTTGCTTAGAGGCTTAAACTCCTTATCAAAGGTTTGCGACCTCCAAAGTCACCCAATTCTGCTAGCAAGTATCAACACTGCTTCCTCTTCACCCCACCACCCGCACATGCACGCAACCTTTCCGACCCCAACAGTGTCTCCCTTGCCCAGCAACGGAACTCAGGAATCCGAGAGGTCACCTCATCTCCCAACACGCAGCCGATCTTCAGAGGTTGGTTCACCTGCCACTTTGGACGCTTTAAGAGGGGACAAGGTCATAGTGTTAAAGCCAGTGACCCTGCCTCCATACTCGATTAAGTAGGTGCCTACTTAATGAAGTAAGGGATAATGGCCACTAGCTACTAAAGCTACTACCTGCTGGACGCAGGATAGCTCACGCTCGCACTAATGATTTAGTTCCTAGCTCTTTAGGGCAACTTAGAGAGGACAAGTTTATCTGTCTTCATCATTTGTCATCTGTTGGGCGAGCTGAAAAACCTTAAGTGGAACCAAGAGTCTCTGTTCGACATACTTCCAGAGCAATTCATCGTTTCAACTACCTCTTTCTCGCTGGTGATCTGCCCATGCCTTGGCGCAGGCCATCTGCAACATATCTCGGCAGCCCAAGGGGTTCATCCCACCAGCATTGCACACCACCTGCCCCACACGGAAGCCAAGACGAGCGCAACTCCACTTGGTTCCAAATAAGATCAAATAAGAAAGGGAAAGAACTTTTGTAAGGTTCAAACGGGGGAGAAGCTATTCAGGTATCGAAGAAAGCGGTGTTGATCCATGAGCATCTGCGGGATGCATTAATGCAATGTAATGCAATGATGCTCTCTCATAGGGAAGCATTCGCATAACGCAGGATGGCATGCGACTGCTCAAAGTTATAGTAGGTTGACCGAATGTAAAGCGTGCGAAGACTGCATGGCCTATATAGCCCGAGGGGTTGCTTCCCCAAAGCCTCCATATAAAAAGGCAACTGCAAACAAACCCGTTGTTCGCCCCAAAAAACTTTCAGCACAACAAAGAAGCGAGCCTTGATCCCCTTCTTCTTCAGTGCATGGGCATGCTTCCCAATCACGAAGAGGAAGTCGCGGGCGAATCCCGCCTTTGGATCCTGCAAAGAACAATGCCTCTGAGAATCTGTACATAGGGGTGCTTGTCTTGTTTTAGTACAGGTCTTGGTGCAGAGGTGAAACTTGAGAGTCTAAAGGCACTTATAGACTTGCACACTGAGTTTCCTGCGATTGTGACCAGGTCCAAATGTCAAACAGTCAAGACGATCGAAACATAAAAGTCCAACCCTCCTCTCAAGAATTCAACCGGTGGGAAAGCACCCACGGCACAAATCCGCGGCAAGGTCCTTGGCCCGCTGTCGTGCCATGATAGCCATTGTTGTCTCCGCCAGGTAGTCACCCATGAGGTAGTGTACATCTCCTTTTTCGATGAGCCTCAATCATGTTGTCATATTGGTCATATTGTTCCAACTGAATTTTCCGGCCGTGCATCGTGAGCGAAAAGAAAAGTGGCAATGTCAAGAAGAGTAGACTTGTCTAGGAGCAAAGGGCTAGTAGGGGCTTCTGGCATCGCTACTAGGAACAAGAAGCTACTAGGGGCTCCTGGCCTTACTACTAGGAGCAAGGACGCTCACTCTCGCTGGGACACTGTCCAGGGATCCAGTCAGCATCGCCCCACATCGCCTCGACACTAACACACACTTTGTTGATGCTGTTACATGCTGTTCACCTGTCACTTTTTCAATGTTGTTGTTGCCCGCCCTTAAGTAAGTAGGCGCCTACTCAATTAAGTAGTAGCTAGGAAGCTACTAGCTCACGCTAATCGTTTGGTTCCTCGATTCAAGGCCAGTTTGGGTTTCCTTGGTTTCCTCCTTAGCCGCTTAGCCCTCAGGATCCGACACTGAAGCCACCGATCTTCACTTTGTCCCGCATGGCTTCGACCCGGAGCCCGTGAAGGTACTAAAAGCGAACTTTGAGACAAGAATTTAAGACACTTACTAGCGATGGCCTCCAACCTGGAAGCGATGGCCTCCAATCACAGATGTTCACTAAAGTCACTAAAGCCGAACTTGGAGACAAACATCCAGGAGTGGAGAGCACTTGAGAGATCGACTTTGCCCATCAGCAAAACTGGCTCTCATGGGGGGACAAGGAGTGAAGCTTAGGGAAATGCCCATTCATCCAACAGGAGATCTGCCTATCTTTATCATTTGCTATCTTGACTGCCTAGCAGCCTCAAAGCAGCTTGATCCGAGATGCGGGCAACAACGTCTACAGGAACACACGCCACCACTTGCTGTCATGATTGATGTATGCTTGACATCTTTAACGGTTCCCAACGATCAAAAAAATAACATACAATAACCTAATGTGAAAGGACCCCTTCACCCAACGCAAAATTCAGGGCATGCCTTTCAAGCAATCTCAGATTGGTATCAGTTGTTGGCGATTTCAGAGTCCGACAATAAAGCTCATGATTGACTTGGGGTCCATGCTCTGGCTCAGAGCTTGGGCGCAGATGGCAGGGATCCCATTTGCTCGGACTTTCATGGCAAACAGCCGCCAGACCTTGACACCTTTGAGCCCATGCTTTGCAGACCGATGGAAATGTGCAGCATCCCACAACTGCCTCTCTATCCAAACTCGAGGCAACCTAAGCTCATGAGTTGCAACAAAATGGATGAGCAAAATGAGAGCAGTTCAGCCGCCTGGTGCGCCATCTCATCTGCAAGTGTCCTGCTGCCAAGCAGCAACTCAACAAGCTGCAAAAAACAAATAGTCAAAAGTCTCAAGGCAACAACAGCAAGCAGCATGCTCTTTCTTGAAATGCAATCAGCATACAACGAAGTGCCAGGCCGAGAAAACCCACAGACCCCGGCCTAGGCCAAAGGTGTTCTCCATGCCCAGCTTGAACCAAGAGCTTAAAGGCAAATGCATAGGTGGCAACGCTTTGACACAAAAAGAAACCCACATGCTGGCGATGTCAGCCTCAAGACCTATTCTTTTTTAAAGAAAAGGATACATTTATCCCAATTCAGACATGATCCACCAATCATCACAAAAGGATGGCCTGGGTCGAAAGACAATGAGCAGCAAGATATATCTTTTTGGCAGGTACAAGCAAATCACCTTCGTCGCTGAAAGACTTAATGCTCCAAACATCTTTCAAGAACCGATTCCAGCAAACAGTTCTGTCATGTCTCTTCCCTGAAGTATGTCAATTGTCCTTTGGGTTCTTGTTGGCTGCATTACAGCTCCAAGCTTGTTCCACTGCAAGACATCCTCGATTTTGTTAAAAGAAATGCTGTGCAGTCCATGTCAGGTCATGTGCGTTCTACCTTTGAATAGTTAAATTCGGGGTCCAGGAGGGCACCCCGAAAGCTGCAGTTCCTTCCTCAAAATGTAGAGCAGCCTTGGCTCACAGTGGCATACAGTGGGCATTCTAAGAAGATTGGAAACGTGCTGTGCCCGTCTCGAATTCTGCGTCGCCTCAGCAGCTGAAAGCATGCTGGCACAGCCCGGCTTTGTTGGGTCACCGCCTAAGACGAGACCCGACGCCTGTGGCACGACTCAGAAGCAGAAGCACTCAGGGAGCACTCACGGAGCACTCAGCGGCTGAAACGAAGTTCTCTGGTGCAATGCCACAGTTCGTGAAACAAGAAGCTGCCCCAGCAGAATGAAGAGATCTGACTGACTCTTGTTTAATCCATCTTGTATCTTGCTTCGAGAATTCTATTCACCCCTTCCGTTCAGAAACCTCCGTCCTCTCCAAGAGGACTGACGATTTGGATCTTGCTGGGGCATCCAGGCGACAAATATCCGCAGCCTTCTTTGAAGTTCAAATGAAATCCAAAAGTCATGACAGCAGCATCAGCCATTTGACCTGTGTCCACCCTTGCCAGAGAAGAACGTCTCAATTCCAGCTGCTTTATCTAGATTATGCTGGTCAATGGCAGACGCTCCCACTCGTGGTCCGATCCTCATCAAGAGTAAAGTGCGGCTGAAGGCATACTTTTCGGCCTTTTCAATCAAAATGCATTGGACGTCCACCAACAGCAAACGTTCACTTGGTTGTTTTAAAAACTACTTGTTGGCACCAAAAATGGGCCACGTGTCGAAACAGCTTTTTCTTGTTGCTTCAGTGGTGGACCATCTCCAGGCCAGTTTGGACCTGTAGTCTATCGGGGTACCCATGGCAAGGGCAGCTGATGGCGCAGTGGTTTTGCGATGCTGAGTGGGTTTCATGTGAGGGATGTTGAGAGGCTTATCGTGGCTTGGTGGTAGCACCTTGCTAGTAGGCTGGAGGCCATCGCTGGTAGGTTGGAGGCCATTCCTAGTAGGTTGTAGGCCATCGCTAGTAGGTTGGAGGCCATTCATAGTTGGCTGGAGGCCACCACCACCACTAGTAGGTTGGAGGCCATCGCTAGTAGGTTGGAGGCCATTCATAGTTGGCTGGAGGCCACCACTAGTAGGTTGGAGGCCATCGCTAGCAGGTTGGAGGCCATCGCTTATAGAGGCTTGGTGGGCAATCAACCGCCTCTTCTGCTCTGCGCCATCAGTCTTCGGCCCTTTCATCCAAAAGCCGGGCACAGCCGACTCGACTGTGGAGCGCAGCCTGAGCTTGGGAGTCCCAGGGAAGATCGAGGGAGTTCATGAGGCGTTCCATACCCCGAGATGACCGTAAAAGCTTGCTCAAGCAGTCCAATTCACTGTGGAATCTGGCATACAAACCAGTCTGATCTGGGCCAAACAACCTTAAAGCAAACAATTCTCCTCTTCTTTGGAGTTCTTATTGAGGTCCTTGGAGGCCTTTGTAGAAACCAAGACCGCAAGCAGCCCTGCCGCCCCGCCTCTCAAAATCTTGCATCGAAGCCGAAGGGACCTCGCAAAGACACCAAACGAGAAGGCCGAAAAGGCAGTGTGGATGATGGGCCAAAGGCACCCCTATATAATATAATAGGCCGTTTATATAAATGGCTGAATATTGATGTCACATGTTTCACGCTAGCTTCGGGTTCGGCTTCAAGGTCTCTAAAGAACTTGTTCCCGGCGTTGGAACACTTGGAGCACAAAGGCCTCATTCATCTCTGATGGGCGAAGACCTTTCCCTTATAGCTTACTCGCTGAGCTGCTACTAAATCGGTGTATGACAACTCAGATATGTAGATCCAACAAAACCTGGAGTGATCATCAATTTCGGAATGAATGGGAGAAAATTAATTGAGAGATCTGGAGAATCGAATAGAAGGCTTATTTGGTCTCCCAAGTTGGGACCACAGCCAAAGACGAAATCCTCCTTGGGCGGAAAGGACCTGCAAGGCAGCCAGGCTGTTGCACAAACTGTCCTTTGAAGCTTCCATCCTAAGGAAAGCCACAAGCACAATCTTTTGTTCAAATCTCATTCTGTCAAGGAAAGACCACGGCATCCGTGGCTTTAAGAGCACGGCACAAAGCCAAATGCTTCACGACTCTCAAGGGCTGCGGGCCACACAAGTTTATATCGGTCCCCCCCAACCTCTCCAGCAACTGGAGGGCTTCCAGGGACACCTGTTGCGGGTCCAAGGAGTGCGTCACCTCGGAGGTCAAAAGGAGGTGCGGCGGTGGGTGTCCAACACCCGTGGAGAGTTCATGGATCTATGAGGCTCCTAGTAGCGATGCCAGGAGCCCCTAGTAGCATCCTTGTTCCTAGTAGTAAGGCCAAAAACCCTAGTAGCTTCTTAGCTACTAGTAGCTAGTAGCGATGCCAGGAGCCCCTAGTAGCATCCTTGTTCCTAGTAGTAGGGCCAGGAGACCCTAGTAGCTTCTTAGCTACTAGTAGCTAGTAGCGATGCCAGGAGCCCCTAGTAGGATCCTTGTTCCCAGTAGTAAGGCCAGGAGACCCTAGTAGCTTCTTAGCTACTAGTATATAGCTAGTAGCGATGCCAGGAGCCCCTAGTAGAATCCTTGTTCCCAGTAGTAAGGCCAGGAGACCCTAGTAGCTTCTTAGAAGCCCCTCGGCACAGATGGTGCAAGACACCGCCCTCCACCAGCGGAGACTCGCCGGTCCGCCATGCTCCGATGGCCATGGACTGCCTTGCTGGCGATCCTGCGCTACACTGCACCTTGCGTGCCGCCTGGTCCCAATTCCAGGACCGTCCACATGGATTGCTTCGACGTGAACGAGTGGCTTGAACACCAGTCGAACAGCTTTTTTGATGGGTTTTTGGACGGTAGGGGTGAGGGTGAGGTACTGACCATGCAGTACCTCGAAAGGGATAGTTTGTATGTGCCTCATGATACTATCCCTGAAAAACATGGTACAGGGCACGTAGGGTCTTTCGAGACCAAATTGAGGGCAAGGCGCCTGCCAGTTAAACGATCTTTTGCAAGGGCAATGAAGCGATTGCAGCAAACTGGTTTCTGCGTATATCGTGGACAAGTTCATACTCAGCCTGTTTCCGCACCAGCTGACCCTTCGATCTTGACGCCCCAGAGACGGCCACCTCGAAAGGCCTCGGGACCGAGACTAAGCTGCATGACCTGGAACTGTGGTGGACTTACCACAGACACGTATCATGAATTGCTCCTTTGGCTCTCTCTTCACAGGATCGATGTTTGCTTCGTTCAAGGGACACGATGGGGGATGGACGAACCCTGGGAAAGCAACGGTTTCGCATTAGTGCCATCTCCCGCACAGGACC